GGCTGTAAGCGCTCAGCCAGAACCTTGAAAGCCTCGAGCCCCAAGGCCTCGACCCCGTGACAACCTTTGGAGCCCTGGGCCCTAAACCCTAAACCCTAATCCCTAAACCCGAAACCCTAAACCCCAAACTCCCCAAGCCCTAAACCCTAAACCTGAATGGCCTTGTGGGGCCATTCCAGCCCCAGCGCCCACTTCCTCGGACAATTGTCGGGTTTTAGGGCCATGGAAGAAATCAGCCAAGGCGTAGAGGTGAAAAAAGGCATTCTCGTGGGTTTTTCGGGGATTTTTGAAGGTTTCTCGTCAGTTGGCAGGGAACCGAAAATGGGGACGGGTTGCTCCGATGTTCAGGGGCCTCCACGCCCAAACCCCGAAACGCTAACACATGCATGAGTTCCTAAACGAAACACAAGCAAACAAAACCGTGGCCCATGTTCGAAGAGAGCCAGCCCAACTTTTCAACAGGAATGGAAAGACACCACAGTAGGAAGTTGATTCTACTGAAGCCGAAATTATGGCCCCAAAGGCGTCGTAAGGGAAGGCCTTTCGGGAAGGACGTTCCTAGTCGACTCGGCCTTTACAGGGCTCCTTTGCACTTGATCCGAGCTTCTTGTTTCCCAGCCAGTTGCAGATGTAGTCCACATCGCCTGCAACAGGCCATGAGTGCCATGAGTCCTATCCGCCCCCTATCCATACTGTAACAGGGTTTAAGGCTCAGGGATGTTCAGGGTCTGAAGTTTAAGGCCAGCATTCAGAGCACGGGCTGTCAGGGCTACCGGCAACCCCTCTGAGGCCCCGAAGAAATATCAGCCGCATCACGCACCGAGCCCTGAACCCTACTCCAAACGTTGCCCTGCCTAGACCCCCACCCCTCCGTGCCAGAAGCCCCTAAAACTCCTCAAGCCCCAACAGGCCATTAACCCTCACGCGCCTGCATAGATAAGTACCTGGAGTCCGGCACCAAGGAGGTCAGGCAGCTTCGTGTGGAAGTTCTTCATCCAGTCCTCACCAGAAACTATGTTCCTAGGGTTTGAGTTTTTGGTGTGGGTCTAGGGTTTAAGGCTTAAGGTTGAAGGGTTTGGGTTTGGAGGTTTTGGGCGGCGTTTACAGGGTGTACAGGGCTCAAGGGCTTCACGCAAGCTGAACCCGCAAAAGCCCCAAGCACTGGACCTGAACCGCGATGGCGAGTTGGAGCCATGGTGAAGAACCACCCGCCCACCCTCCTATCCTGAGGTTCCCATTTCCTTCTGGCTTCTTTACGGGTTTAGGGCGTAGGGTTTATAGAAACTGCATAGGGCTCGGGCCCCGACGGCCCCGAAAGGTTTTGAACGAAACGTTTTGAACGAAACGTTTTGAACTTTGGACCTCACTTTTAGGGAGGAGGGGGCATAGCCGCCCTATAAAGCGTGCCTGTTCGTATCCGCATATCTTCAAGCAGAAACAAGCACCGCACAAGCACACCAGAGCCCCGGCGTCCGGGCTGCCCCTTCATCTCCCTTGCACCTCTGCATCCCAGGAAGTGACCACAGACGCCTGCAAGTCCATGCTTGCCGAACCACTCCTCCAGGTCTCCGGACAGACTCCAAACAACATGCAAAACAGCACCGCCATTAGCCGCCAATTTCAGAGCCACACCTCGGAGCGTGCAACCTGCACACATCTGGAGCCAATGCAAAAACAAGTTGTCAACACTAGGAAGATAGGCAACAAGTGTCGAGCAACCTTCAGGGGCATGGACCTGCGTAACAGACGAAGAGCATCCACAAACCAGAATGCATCCTTGGTAGGGCACGGCGCAAAACACGCCGCTTCTACACAGTCGCCTACCACAGTATTCACAGGAAAATCAACGCAGTCAAAACAGAAAGCCCCAACCTGTAACAATGTACAACAAGAGACCTGCAGCCTATAAAATTCATAATCAGCCAAACTCATTCACAGCAACAAAGACAACTATACAGTGCCCGAGCAAGCACCGAAAATCAAAACACGTGCGACCTGCCAGACAGACCTAGACCGTAATTAAACACGATGTAACCCGTTGCCTCCAGCACAGCACACATGGAATTGTCAAATTCGTGGACTCGAGGATGACAAGTTTAGGGACCTTTCTTCCGGCGGCGCCACGCTCTCAGGCATGCGACGACGCCGTTTGGGCACAGGTCTCTGGGGTGGGGTGAAGTGCTGTCCTGTGTCTCCTGCGCCGGAGACAATTCCGAAAGCTGCTCAGGCAGCACGCGCTCCACTCGAAGCAGCACATTGTTCTCTCGCAACTTGTCCAGTAGCGCGAGGATTTTGTCTGCTTGGTATGAGCCGGGCCCATTCTCGAGGAAACCATGCTAAGCAACAACCACCACTGAAAAACTGAAAACGCTTGCGCTCAACAAGAACATAGCCGCCCGATTTGTTTTTGGCCGCGGCTGGGTCACGAATGAGTACTACTATTTGCTCTGAGCCCAGACGCTACGCTGAAGTCACACTGCAACCATATGAGTCAATGTTGCAGGGGCTGAGAATAATACGCCACGTGCTGGCTATCCTTGCCCCCATTCAAAGCATGTTGGCTATTGTGGCACTGTTCACTCAGGTTCATCATAAGCCAACTCGTCTTTTGTCCCGCGTTTCGTGCTCACTGAAGGCTGCGCTCCCTCACACCGTTGTCGGTGAGTGGACCCCAACACCATAACCGGCCGCTCTTTGGATCTGCGAAGCCTCGGCGGCCAATTCTTAGTACTGCGCTTCCACTTGTAGCATACTGAGCGCACGGCACTCCCATGCGTGAGCTTCAGGCATGCGCTTCTTGACGGGCCACACTTTGACCTTGGATCATTTTGAATTGGTTGCTGTTGTACTTTTCGAAGGGCAGTGGCCTTGGCTTCGTAGGTGGGAGTCTGGACACATTGCGAAACGTATCTATGGCCTGCCGGGCTTGTCAAAGCGGATGGACGCAAGCGCTGACGTGCACTCAACACATAATTGGCTGGTGTATCACACGAAACAGACTTGTAATTCTTTTATTCCTTCGCAGAACTTGTGGAGTGAGACTGGAGCTGGTTAAGTATGTGTTCTTGGCTGAACCTTCTGTTTCAGGACACCCAAGCTTCTAGCTAGGCGCTCAGCCGCGCGTTTCAGTCGAAGGTCTTCTTGCTATCTCTGTCGTCCAGTCTTGTCGAATTTTTCAGGTTGTCCAGGCAGAGTTCTTCGTGCCTTGCCTGTTAAGCCCTCGGAAGTCGTCCATCTGTTATTTTGGGGTTAGGGGTTTAGGATGTATTGGAGATGTGACGCAGTCGCTCTTGCCCTTCATTTCCACTCCTTCCTACTTCAATTCTGGTCATCGTCGTGACCGCTCTTGTAGCGTGGACGGTAATTATGACTTGCGGAAAAGGAAGCACACATCATAACATGTATGGGCACACTCTGAAGCATCTCTGTTCGATTTTGGAAGACAGAGTGAGGAATTATGTAGCAATCCGGCCGGAGGCCTAAACCCCTCAATCCCCCTATTTACATTTGTTTTTTTTTTTGGGCGTTGGGGGGTTAGGGTTTAGGGTTTAGCGTTTGGGATTGGGGGTTTAGGGTTTAGGGTTTAGGGTTTTTGGGGCCTTGGGGGAATCTGTCCAAGGATTTGGATTGGGCATTTGCCTAGAAACCCTATAAAACTATAACCCCTTACTCCTACAGACTCCTGACTTCTCCGATTGCCCATGCCTTACACCCTTTTACCCTTTTTTCGCTCACGACTTTGAGTGTTTAGGGACTTCTTATAGGTTCTCTTAGGATTTATATGGGTTTATGGAGCTCCGCTTTGGGGGGTTTATGGGTGTCTTAGGGTTTATATGGGTTTATGCTGCTAGGCAATGAACCGGAACTAGGAGTGAGCGAGTAATTCCGAAGTTGCAAGAACCAAGACAGGTGCTGTACTGCAAGGGCTGGTACCCCAAGCCCGTAGACCAAGCCCTTTTTTCCTCTAAACCAGAAACACCCGAAGCCTCAACCCTACTAAGAAGCAAGCACTCGGTCAAAGCGTCGTGCTGGAAGGCCAAATTCACGATTCGGTTGCAGCTTCCCCACTTCTTTGACACGCCCAGCTGCGCTTGCGTGTCCTTGTCCTCAGAGATTCTTGCATTTCGGGTGCTTTTCGTCGCAGCGGTGGGGTTGAGGGTTTGGGGGCGCAGGCTTAGCCGGAATGTTACTGGGATGGCCCTTAAAACCCTCTGCAAAATCTCAATGAATAGGCTCCTCTTAAACCCTAGACCCTAGACCCTAAACCCAATAAGGGAAAATACAAAATGTCCCAAGGGCCTACCGAGCTGTGGGCGCCCCAGAGCTTGGCCCCCTGGTTCCTAGCAGGGAATGAGGGAGTTTGGGCCCTACATGTATACCCGTTCAGGGATTATATATGTATATGTAATATATATAATATATTACATATACATATATAATCCCTTAAAGGGTATATACAAGGCCCTCAATCCCTCATTCCCTACTAGGAACCAGCCAGTTGGGCCAAGGGGCATTCAGGAAGTCCTCGACCGCGCTGAAGTCGTAGCAGAGGGGCGGCTTCTCGCACTTGATGCGCATGTCGTAGGGGTTGTGGCCTCAAAAGGGAAGAATGTTGGGATGCCCCCCTTGTACTAACAGCTCCTTAATAGAGATTATAATAGGGGGTACTATAATCCCAATTAAGGACGGAGAGTGTAAGGGGGGAGCATCCCAATAGGGGATTCTAGTATACTACCCCAAAAAGGTACTACATAGGAGCCTTAGGGTATAAACCATAAACACGAAACTTTAGTGTTAGCTCTACCATCATCTGCTATGCAGTTTGCGTGCGTGCTGCGGACCTCTCCACTACAGTCCGTTACAGCTCCGCTGCAGCGTCCGTTACAGCTCCGTTGCACCTCCGCACAGCGTCTGTTATAGTTCCGTTGCAGCTCTGCTACATCGTTCGTTACAGCTCCGTTGCACCTCCGCTACAGGTCGGTTCCAGCTCCGTGACAGCGTCCGCTACAGCGTCCGTTATATACAGCTCCGCTACAGCGTTCGCTACAGCTCCGCACCTCCGTTACAGCTCGTTTACAGCTCCGTTGCAGCTCCGCTACAGCTCCGTTGCAGCTCCATTACAGCTGCGTGACAGCTCTGCTACAATACAAAACCGGCCTTTGCGTTGCAAATCCTGTAACGGACATGGGTGTGGCGGAAAGCCCGTGTTGCTGTAACGGCTGGACGTAGCTCAAACCAAACAGTGGGCACTGAACATGAACCCTGCTGCTACCGATGCGAATTTCGCACTTAGAAGAAGGGCTGCACATTTCTATTCAGAGAAGGGCCGCCGAAACCCTTGTAAGCCCTGTACTATGACCCCCCCCCCCTCCCCCCTCACCCCCCCCGGTGGCCTGTCAGCTGGTAGGGGATCAGCTCGCCATAGTTGCACAAGGCGTAGGCCGTCGTGCAGGCGTTGTCCTGAGAGCCGCTCTTTGTGGCAAAGCGGTGGGGACTTGGCTTCGGGTTCCCAAGGTTTTGTGGCCCCACAGGGCAAGTTCGCCGAGAGCATGTCCATGAGGGGAAGAGGCCTACCCTCGACCCTAACCTTCCCTGAAGTGGACTAAGCCCTAGACCTTAAACCCTAAACTTCCCTAAGCCCCCAGCCGTAAATCCTCAGCCCTCAAGCCTTCGCCCCCCCACCCCCCCCTTGGTATTACTGGGAGCAATGCCGCTCAAGCTGAAGAAAACAGACACTCAGATGGGGAGTGTCCGAAAACAGGGGTACCCTTTTGCTGTTCCCTCTAAGGGGATTCTTCTTTCTGTTTGGGGTACAAAAAAGGGGTACCGCTATTTTGGGAAATGCCCATATAGTCAGACGCTCAGTTCCTGCAGCAACAACATGCCGGCGCTGGAGCTGATTGTTTCACAAGCCGGCTCTGAGACGTGGCAAATGGGGGCTTACGAAAATGAGGGACCCCTAGTACAGGCCTACAAATAGTACTGTAGGATCCCCTTAGAATAAGGACCCCAATAAGGCACCCCTAGTTTCGGAAACCCCCGAACCGACAAGTGAACAGTGAACAGGCCTGAAAAGGGAACAGCTTTTGAGTGATTGTCTGAGTCTGAGTGCTTGCATACAACCACTCATCAATGCTCGAGAGGAGCTCGCAAACAAGGCACAAATCGAAAGACCAACAGCCTCAAGGGTCCGACTGTCTGAGCGTCTGACTGTCTCACTGTCGTTGTCAAAATTCGGTCGGCAGGAGAACACCCAGACACCCAGACATGCACACTTGCAGACGTATCAGGGAAGTCTTTCTTGGAAGCGAATGAGTGTGTAAGCACGAGCGTCTGAGGTTCTGAGTGTCTGAGCGTCTGAGTCTCTGAATAATTGAGTGTCTGCTGCACGGAAACGGCACCACGCGCCGCGCGCGTGCGTGCGTTCAACCTTGTAGTTTGTTTGCCATCATGAGTGATTATTATACGAGTATTATGCTTATCGTTGTTAGTGCTACTATAGTATTTGTAGGTTGCCTAGGAATTCTATCAGGTGCTTCGTACGAAGGACCCTGGAGGATGTCCTGCAGATATAGCTCTTGATATAGAGACGAAAGGTAAGTAGGTTTGGGGCTCGCAAGCTAACTAGGCCCTGGAACCTAAACGCCTAGACCCTAAGCCCCAAACCCCCCCACCCCCCCCCCCCAAAAAAAAAAAAAAAACTAAACCCTAAACCCTAAACCCTGAACCCTAAACCCTAAACCCCAAACCCTAACCCCTAAACCCTAAACCCTAAACCCTGCGTCTGAAGTCTGCCGTGGCACATCCCCGGCGTTGCAGGACGCGATCTGCTTCACGCAGGGGATGCTGGCAGCCTTCATCGCCAGGCTTCCCAGCTTGCCGATGACGCCTTGCAAGGCTTCAAGAACCGTAGGGTTTAGGGTTTAGGGTTTAGGGTTTAGGGTTGAGGGTTGAGGGTTGAGGGTTGAGGGTTGAGGGTTGAGGGCTTAGGGCTTAGGGCTTAGGGCTTGGGATGTTCCCCCTTATACTAACAGTCCTTAGTCGGGATTACAGTAGGGGGTACTAAGAACATCCCAACTTGAAGAACCATGTCGGGGCTTGCGGGCTTGGTGCTTAAGGAGTCCACTGTAGAGGGGGGGGGGGGGGGGGGGGGGGCGGGAGGATTACAGCCGAACCCACACCCTGCCTCGACTAGGCTACCTAGGAACCCAAAAAAAAGGGCAGTGTCTTGGTCCAATGGGCTTAAAAGGGAACCCAACACCACAGAAAGAGGAAACAGGGTACCGGGAAGACATCGAGTGAGGGGGGTGCTTGGCACAGGCCCGAAGCCTGCATCAGGCGGTGGGCGTAGGGTTTAGGGTTTAGAGTTTAGGGTTTAGGGTTTAGGGTTTAGGGTTTAGGGTTTAGGGCTTGTGTCCCACTACATCTGGCAGCAGAATCAGAAGGGCGACGCCTTCAAGGTCCCCTTGAAAGGCTCCTTCAACTTTCTGGGTTTAGGGTTTAGGGTTTAGGGTTTAGGGTTTAGGGTTTAGGGTTTAGGGTTTAGGGTTTAGGGTTTAGGGTTTGGGGCCCCTGAACCCTAAACCCTGAACCCCTCAGGGAGAGCCGAAACCCCAGGGCCGCCTTTCTGCAGGGTTCCTCCCTCAGACTTGCCCCCGTCGTAGGCCATGTCTCCGTACCACTTGTACTGCTCCTGGCACCCGAAACCCGAAACCCGAAACCCGAAACCCGAGACCCGAGACCCTAAACCCTAAACCCTAAACCCTAAACCCTAAACCCTAAACCCTAAACCCTAAACCCTAAACCCTAAACCCTAAACCCTAAACCCTAAACCCTAAACCCTAAACCCTAAACCCTAAACCCAACCGTAGACCCTAGACCACACTAAACCCCTCGAGATACAACCCTAAACACCAAGCCCTAAACCTCAAAGTCCTGAAAACCTCTCAGTAATGTAGGGGTCGGGATGATTCCTACGAAGATTCCCTTATGGTTCCTTTATAAATATACGATAATAACCCCCAAACCCTATTTGCTACATCCAGAGCTCAGTGCTGGGTGTGTAGCATTGTGGGGAACCTTGCGCCGCCAAAAGAGAGAGTAGGAGTGCCACTGGGCTGAACCCCCACAGGCCAAAAACTCTCCAAGGCCCGATAAAACTTAGAACCTTAATATCTCGAAGCCTCACTAAACCCCTAAACCCACAGACCCATGACCCTAAACCCCTAAACCTCTAATCCTCTAAATCCTAGACATCTAAACCCTAAACCTCTAAACCCTAAACCTCTAAACCTGTAAACCCTGAACCCTGAACCCTGAACCCTACCCCCTACGACCCTGAGCCCTGAAACCCTACACCCGTAGACCTCCAAACCGCTAAATCCAAAACCCCAACGCAGACCCCTAAAGACCTAAAGTTGACCGAAAGCATGGGCCTGGGGATCCGTCAGGCCGTTGCCGACGCCCAGGCCTGCGCTCCGGGAACCGCCGCGCGATCCCCCCAAAGCTTTTCTTAGGGTTTTGGGGATTCCGTGGTTTTGGGATGTAGGGGTTTGGGAATTTAAGGGATTTAGGTGATTGAGGGTTTTAGGGTCTAGGAGTTTAGGGGTTAAGCGGGTGTTGTGCTTTTGGGGTTTACGGGTGTCTTACTTGTTCTGGGGGAGGAAGCTCCTTTAAGGGACTGCACAGGGTATCCTGCCGGATCGGCTCCCTCCCCCTCAGCCCCAAGCCCTCAGCCCTCAACCCTAAACCCTCAACCCTCTGCCCTCAGCCCTAAACCCTGAACCCGAAACCCTAAACCCGAAACCCGAAACCCTAAACCCTAAACCAAACCCCAAACCCAGAAAGTTGAAGGAGCCTTTCAAGGGGACCTTGAAGGCGTCGCCCTTCTGATTCTGCTGCCAGATGTAGTGGGACACGGCCGGCACCTGTGAGTCGAATTGGGGTTAGGGTTTAGGGTTTAGGGTTTAGGGTTTAGGGTTTAGGGTTTAGGGTTTAGGGTTTAGGGTTTAGGGTTTAGGCTTTAGGGTTTAGGGTTTAGGGTTTAGGGTTTAGGGTTTAGGGTTTTGGGCCCCAGGCCCTGCTGCGCAGGGCGCGTAGTGTCCGGCATAGGACTCGCCGAAGATGAAGAAGTCAAGGTGCTTGTACCTTGGTAGCCGTGGGTTTAGGGTTTGGGGTGTAGGGTGTAGGGGCTTGAGGGTTTGAGGGTTTAGGGTTTAGGGTTTAGGGTTTAGGGTTTAGAGCTTAGAACCAAAATAGGGGAAAAGGATACCACAGGGCTACCAAGGTACTGAGGCAACGCCTTGTAGAACTCCTGGGAGGCTGGGGCTTCGGGATTTGGGACTTTGGCTTACCATGCAGCATGCTACCACAATTGTTTTAGGTTTTTAGGGCTTAGGGTTTAGGGTTTGGCTACAACTGGTTCGCCAGGCCTCTTAAAAAACACGACACGTAACCTCTCAAACCCCCAAACTCTCAAACAAATCCACAAGTGTCAAGTCCTGCATGAAGTTGTACATGTTCTTGGCGACGCCATCTTCGTCATGCACCTCGAAGGACGGAGAGCACACCCGACACCCCAAAAGACACTGGAAGGAACAACTGCAGACATCTGGTGAGTTCTCCTAAGTAATTTCACTTTTTGGGCCCCCTAAACATGAGGGGCCGCTCTATCGTAGTAACCCCGCAAAAGGGACCAAATTTTCGAGAAGTGACTATCTGTCTTCAAACCCGAGTACGCCTTGAACCCAGCGACCTTCTACCAACTCTACACCCAGCCCTTTCACCATCTAATGAGAGCAATATAAGCAAACACAACCACACCCTACGCCAAATGCTAAACCTCGGAAAGCCCCCAAACCTCCAAGACAAAATCCCCACACCCTAAAACTCCAGCTACTTGCAGCCCAGAAAAAACCCTAACTCCTGTAAACCCCCAGAACACTAAACCCCTGCACCGCAAACCCCAAAAAATACGGATAGCCCTAAACCCTAAACCCTAACGCTAAACCCCAAACCCTAAACCCTAAACCCCAAACCCTAAACCCTAAACCCCTAAACCCCAAGTCAACAAAAAACCTTTTCACATGAACCCACGGGGCCAACGGCAGCCCAGTGGAGAAGCCGGTCGCGGCTGGCTGATCCACCCAGAGGACGTTGGCGTTGCCTTGTTGAAATGCGTTGTAGCGGTTTAGGGGTAAGGGCTTCGGGGAATTGAGGGTTTAGGGTTTAGGGTTTAGGGTTTAGGGTTTAGGGTTTAGGGTTTAGGGTTTAGGGTTTAGGGCTATCCGTACATCGTATTTGGCCGACTTGGTAGCCCAGTAACCATGTGCTGTTAGGGTTCTGGGCTTCCGGGGTTTGGGGTTTGGGGTTTGGGGTTTAGGGTTTGGGGTTTTATGTGGGACCCTCTTTAGTGTGGGCCCCCCCCCCTGAACAGTCGAGGCTGGATTTTACCCTCTATAATGGCTTGTATGATTTTAATAGGGAGGAGTTTAGATAGATTTAAACGGGATCCAGATGAATTTAAACGGGATGAGCTCATATGAATTTAAAAGGGAGCCGCGCGAATCGAAAAGGGGTCCGGGATGAGTTTATATGAATTTATATAGAAGGGATCCATAGGCTTTTTCCAAATTCGGAGCCTCCACGCCGGGGCATAGACATTAAAGCGGGCCCGAATCAGTCCCATTATTGGGGGCCGAAGGGGGCTCCTGGACCACCCCCTTGTCGGATTGAACGAAACCAATTGTTCAAATGGTTTCTTAAAGGGAATTAATGATTTCGGGCCGGTGGGAATGAATGAGGTCGGCCTTAAAATCACCAGGTCCGGCTTTAAAATCATAAGGCCCGGCTTTAAGCCGGAGCCGGGCCGAAACAAGCCTCAAATCCTAAAAAAGAATCCGGAATTCGGGAGCGGTTTGTCTTTAAAGAGGGACTCCCAAACAGTCACGATGTCCTGAATAATTCGGCCAAATTGTCTTTGAAGAGGGGGTCCACATTAGGGTTTTGGGTTTAGGGAGGGAACCTTGAAACAAGAAAGCGGCAAGGCACCACTGGGCTACCAAGTTGAGATGCGTTTTCGGGGCTTAGGGGTTTCGGGGGTGGGGGTTTAGGGTTTAGAGAGTTTAGGGTTCAGGGCTTCGGGCTCAGGATTTGGGGGTCAGGGTTTAGGGGTTTAGGGGTTTGGTGTTCGATTTAGGGGCTTGGTGGTTTTAAGGATTTGGTCTTGCTTGTCCAGTTTTCTTTGGGGAGCAAGGGGTCAGCCTTTGGGACGATATCGCCAGCTCAAAGCTGTGTTCCCTTTTCGGGCCCTGTTGTGTTGCAGACCTTGCTATTGGGGGGTTTCCGATTACAGGGGTAATTACCCTTTTCAATCCCCAAATATAGTAGAATCCCCTTATTATCGGAAACAACCAGCTGCAGCGACAGCAGCGCATGTGACCCGTAGCTCCACGCCGCATGGAACTTTCAATCATCTTGCGAATCCGAGCTTTTTTGGAGCCAAGCCGCCTGTGCCCTGAACCCTAACTCTTAGTCCTTAACCTCCTACATACTAAACCCATCTAAACCCTAAACCCGAAACCCTAAACCCCTAAACCCCTAAACCCCTAAACCGCTAAAACGCTAAACCGCTAAACCGCTAAACCCCTAAACCCCTAAACCCCTAAACCCCTAAACCCCTAAACCCCTAAACCCCTAAACCCCTAAACCCCTAAACCCCTAACCCCCTAACCCCCTAAACCCCTAAACCCCTAAACCCCTAAACCCCTAAACCCCTAAACCCCTAAACCCCTAAACCCCTAAACCCCTAAACCCCTAAACCCTGAACCGTCACGTCACGCCCAACACCCCTGGCAAGCCACTGGTCCAGGAGTAGGGGTTCTTCTCGGTTCCGGTGCCGTTCTTGGCCATGTTGCAGGGACCTCCGCGTCGATTTATACACGACCTTCAGACCCTCAAACCTGCTTTTCTCTAGCGTGTTTTTACAAAGCCCATTATAGGGCGCCCTAGTTCTAACCTGTCCTAAACCCAATATCCAAAAACCCCCAAACGCCTAAACCCCTAAGCCCTACACGAAAAGAGGTTTTGGGAAAGGTAGGGATTAGGGCGCTTAGGCTCACGGGAACTTTTCAGTCGGCTTGATATAAAGCTCAGCCCTAGGAGAAAAAAGGGGTTGAGGGGTTTAGGGTTTTGGGCTTTTGGGGTTTAGGGTTCAGGGCTTGGGTTTTGGGGTTTTGGGTTTTAGGGGTTTAGGCGTGTAGGTTTAGGGGTGCAGGGGTTCAGGGGTTTAAAGTTCAGGGACAACAAGATTTCAACGAACCCCAGCCGTGCCTACCCGGATCCATAAGGCAGTGTTCAGAGCCCAGAGCACGCCAGCTTTTTTGAAGGTTTGGGCTCAGGGGCTTCCGCGTCACCGCCCAACAGCCCTCACCCCCCGAATCCTCAACAACCGCCCCCCCCCCCCCCCCCCCCCGCCCTAAACCTAAACCTTATAAAGCCCTAAACCCTAAACCCCCCCCCCCCCCAAAAAAAAAAAAAAAAAAGAGGTACACGATCCGAAAGAGGAAGCGCGGACACAGCCGGGAGCCAACTCGTTTAGGGTTTAGGGTTGAGGGTTGAGGGTTGAGGGTCCGCCGACCCTGGCGGCGTGCTGGATGGGTTTGGCGGTGAACCCTCCCTTTTTCCCTTTGGGTACCCCGGCGGCTGTTTTTCCGTGGAGGAACCCACAACCCGCACCCTGCGACTTCAAGGACCATGGGAGCTGGGTGAGCATCCTAGGGCGGAAAATCTTAACAAATCTTAACCCCACATACTTCTAAACCTCCTTTAAACCTCTTCACCCTTTCAACTGCCTGGGACCCTGCAACCTGTTCTCCTGCGGGGTCGGCGGCTTGAGCCAGAGGCTCTTAACTTTAGGGTGCTACTGGGCATCCTAGCCACAACAGTGAACCCTCAAAGTTAAACTTCAGGCCACTCTAAACCCTAAACCCTAAACCATAAACCCTTAGCCCTGAACCCTAAACCCTAAACCCTAACCCTAAACCCTAAACCCTAAACCCCCGAGCCGAGAGCGGCCGGGAGCAGCTGGGAAGAAGTTGTTCATCGGCGCTTCAAACAGTCAAAAGGCGCAGTGTTCAAGGTGTAAGGGGTTGGGATGCTCACCCTTATACTAACAGCCTCTCGTAGGGATGATAATAGTAGGGGCCCTAAACCCGAAACCCTAAACCCTAAACCCTATAATCCCTATTAAGGACTCTCTCGTATAAGCTTCAGCGCATTGAGAGTCAGCAAACTACCCGGGACGGTGGTCCATGCGGCTCACTCATCGAGACCCCCCCTTTATAGAAAGCCCTGAACACCCCAAAATCCTAGTTTAGGGTTTAGGGTTTAGGGTTTAGGGTTTAGGGTTTAGGGTTTAGGGTTTAGGGTTTAGGGTTTAGGGTTTAGGGGGGTTTAGGGGGTTTAGGGGGTTTTAGGGTTTAGGGTTTTAGGGTTTTAGGGTTCTAGGGTTTAGGGTTTAGGGTTTAGGGTTTAGGGTTTAGGGTTTAGGGTTTAGGGTTTAGGGTTTAGGGTTTTTAAACCTTAAACCCTGAACCCTATCCAACCCCTGCCTAAGCCCTGAAAAAAAAACCAAAACTCAAAACCTGGAACCCTAAACCCGAAACCCTAAACACAAAACCTTCAACCCCTGCCTAAAAAACCCAAACACCCTAAACCCCAACTTTCCTAGACGCTAAAACCCGCCTATCTACAACGCGGTTCACAAGCCCAGTGGCCGTTCTCTGCGAGCAGCGCGAGCTGAGAAGAGCAACCCGGTCCGCCTCTCATTTCTCTAAGGGAAGGTTATGGAAAGGTAAAAATGAGGTGTAGAAGGGTTCCCTAATTAAGGGCGGTTAAGTTAAGGGGAGGATTAATTTTAGGGTTCAGGGTTTAGGGCTTCAGGCGGTTATCACTTACGTAGGGTTTCTGGCTTTAGGGGCGAGTTTTGGGGTTGAGGTGTTTTGTTTTCTCAGGCATGAAGGGTGTATGGGCTTCGGGATTGAAGCTTCAGGGTCAACCTGGGCCCCAGTTGTCTACGATGTGTGTGGCGGGGAAGTGGGGGGAGGGTATACCTTGCAATTAAAGGGTATAATTAGAAGGTAAGTCAGGGTTGAGGGTTTGGGGTTTAGGGTCTGCACGTCTTCCGCTCTAGGCTTTCGCTGGGACACACCCGAGACCGAGACCCTGAAACCTGAGCCCCGCTGACCCTCAAACACCTACGCATTCGCAGCGGGCAACTCACAGAAATACCTTACTAAATCGCCCTCTCTTTTTTTGCTGTTCTTTTTTTTCTCTCTCTCTCTCTCTCTCTCGCGCTCTCGCTCTCGCTCTCGCTCTCGCTCTCTCTCTCTCTCTCTCTCTCTCTCTGTCCTTCCGTCTCTGATCGCGGAAACCCTAAACCCGAAGTCCTTGCACCTGCTTGTATCTGGCACAGGTCGGGGCTCCGCCATACAGGGTGCTAAAGCCTCTGCAAGCCCTGGTAAAGGAACTCCGACATAGGGGCCTGACTAGCTAGAATAGGGCCGTGGGGGGGTTATTATGGTATAGTTACAAAGGAACCCTCAGGGAATAGTCTTAGCAATTTCGAATCCTCTCCTCAAGCCTTGCATGATCCCTGAGCCTCGAGCCCTAAGTGAGTCCAACAGCAGGAGCCTGTCAACCACAGGACCAGAGGGTCGCTTGCGGGCTTGCTGCGGCTCTCCTTATGCATCCGGTGGATTTGGGTTTAGGGTTTAGGGTTAGGGTTTGGGGTTCAGGGATTCAGGGTTTAAGGGCTGGAAGGACTTCGGACACTGGTAAGTCTCTGCGTGCTGAAAGAGCTCTGTTACGAAATTGCACCCCCCCCCCGCCCCCAGTAGGGTTACATCCCCCCCTATTGGATCCTTCAAGGAAAATCTTTCACGGAACCGAGCACTCCCTTATTCCCAAATAAGAACTCAAGCTGAGCCCAGCGTCGAACATCCAAAAGAAGTACTTTGTGCCGACTGCCACATCCAGGTACCCACTGTGCTGCTTCACGCTGCTGTCGCACCTAGGCCCGTCGACTTTGAGAGGTGGGGAAGGCCCCCTCTATAAATCGCCTTGGCAACACTAAGTGCAACCACACAACCGGCAAAGCAAAGCACAGCAGCAAGGGAAGGAGTCGGCGCTCCTTTTCGCAGAAGGTTAAACATCGATGCTGCGGAGATTGACGGCTGAACGACCTGCCCCTGCACACTATACACAGGCGAGCGTCACACCGGGAAAGAAAAGTGTCGCGCTAGCGGCGGCTCATACGGGCTTTGCGCCTTTCACGTTGAGCCTTTCGGATTCCAGCTCGCCTCTCCTCTTCAAGTCGGTCAGCAGCAGACTCCTTTAGAGATAGCCGCAAAGCTTTCTTGAATTGTTCGAAGAGGACATCTGGCATTGATTTCGTCAGGCCGTCGGCGTACTGGCGCCAAGTGGGCACCCAATGCAAGCGGAGAATCCCTTGCTGCACCAGCTGTCTGACAGCAAGTATGTCCAAGGCCGTCTGCCGCTCGCTGGCCATCGCAGTTCCTTGGAGGTGGTCGTAGACGGACTTGGCGTCGGTAACCAAGTGGCCTTCAGTCTTCAAAGAATCCCTCCACTCAGGACTGACTTCAGTGTCTCCATACCACAGTGCGTCCAAGAGCTTCTGGTTGTACAGCAGCTTGTCTGCAGAGCCCGCCAAGCTGCAACACTCTGCCGCCATGCTGCTACGCACAACCCTGGCAATCTTGTTGGAGTGGAATTCCAGGATCGCTGCCGGGGTAGGCTTTGACACACAGTCACATCCGGTGATGAAGTGAACTTCTCCGCGCTGAGCTGAGGCCACGTCACTCGTCTTTCCCAAAGAAGCGTCGAAGAAGGTCACAAGAACCGGCTTCTCGACTGGAGGAAAAGCAAGACAAGCCTTACCCTCTTTTGCCATCTCGTGGAACCGAGCCAGTAGCTCAACCCCGGCGCGGAGGTCCTCAGTTGTAGCTCCCGACACCCGCTGGGCCAGGCAACTCACCTCAAAGAGCAACTCCGGCAAGACGTGGTGGGCTGGCCATCGCAACTGTGCCACAAGACGGCGGTAAGCCTTCAGAGCAGCGGTGTTGAGGAGCTCACCTTTCTTGAGGCCGGTCATGGAGGGGGCCTGTATCGCGAGGATATAGGCAGACATGTCGTTGATGAAGACATTGCCCTTTATGAAGATCTTCAGGCCCAGGTAGTCCAAAGGAACGTCCTTAACCAAGTGCCAGACCTTGATCTGGAAGCGCTGGTCAATGGCTGCTTTAATCTGACCGATCACTTTGTTGTCACCCACCAGCATGCCATCATCGACATGGAGGCACAGCACGGCTAAAACTGCCTTGGTCCTGGGGTCCTTCCACACAAAAGTGCACAAAGCGAAACTCAATTCCTCGAACCCAGACTCCTTCAGCAGCTCCTTTGCCCTTTCGTACCAAAGGCGAGGCGCCTCCGCAAGGCCATACGCGCTGCGGAGTATCAACCACAGCTCGTGTGGCCCAACACACTTCAAGTCGCGTGGAGGTCGAACGTAAAGCTCACGACCCACAGACTTGCCGCTCAGGAAGGCAGTGCTTACATCAAACAAGTAGCAGGACCAGCGCTTGCTGACACAGAGGACCATCGCCATGCGCACAGCCGTGGCCTGCGTCGTGGGACTGTCGGTGCGGATCTCTCCCACGTCAGGGTCCAGGTGGCCAGGGAGCACGATCCTGCTCTTCGGCAAGAACTGCTTGCTGCCAGCTGCTGCTTTGTTAGTCCGGACAACTCGCGCCGGGACCTTGAAGACCCTGTGAGCTGGCACCTTGCGAGCCTCCTCCTTGGACAAGCGCTTAACCACGTTGTTCTTGGTCCAGGCACTCCACTCGGCGGCGTCTGACTCGTCAAAGGCCTTGGCCTCAGCGGTGTCAAAGTACCGGGGGTCCAGCTCCTTGCCACTTGCCTTGAGCTTTAAAAGGAAAGCCTCAACACAGCGGGTCGTAGAACTCAAGTCGGCGCAAGCAGCGTAGAAGGTCCTTTTCGAAACCGGGGCCACCTCATAGCAGACGCCGTCCTTCTCAACGACAACCGGCTCCTCAAGCGGGGCCTCCTTTTCGAAGAAAACTTCTTTGGTCACCGTCGTCTTCGGGCGGCGAGAGAACAAAGTCAAGCCACGCCACAAGAAGGGAGTCCGACGGCGAGGGCGTTCCTTGGCCTGATCAGGCCCCTCAGTCGCAACGAGAACCTGCCTGCTTCCCTGCTGCAGCATGAGAGTGGTTCGATTGCAACCCACATTGCCGCCTGGAGCTTGAAGCCTTTTCCTCGGGGCGCGATGGAGCCGAACAGAACACAACGGCATGTCAAGCAGCTCGCTCAGGTAGTCCACCTCAGCCTTGCTAAGCCACTCGTTCTGAAGCACTGGCTCGTTGAAAACTTCACCTTCAGACACAGCAGCCAGCACGTAGTTGTAGAAAGAAGCGTCCTTGAGGCGTTTGGCGGCCGGCTCAACTTCAGCCTCATCGGCATTCTCCAGCAACTCCCGCTCTTGCAGTTCTCGGCGACGCTTAACAAACTCACGCATGGCCACGGGAACATCGTCAGTAGCCAGCTGCCTCCGCCGAAGAGTCTCTGGACTTGGAGAAGGACGTCTCAAGAGATCTCGCATCTCGCCCTCTTCCATTGACGCTGCCGGGCCGTCCTCATCAGTGACATAGTCCGGCGGCGGGCCAGCCTCGTCCGAGTCTGCCGCGCTGGGACCAGCAAGGGCCGGGTCAGGAGCCACTGCTTGTTCAGCTCGGGGGGCAGGAGGACATAGAGCACGAGGACGACGACGGCCTTGTAGAGGAACTTTCAGCATCTTCTTGACGCTCTTGAGATTGCTCATCATCCGGCGGGCCTCCGTGACCTTACGCCCCAATGTGTTTCTCCTCCTCCGGACTGACAGGCCAGGACCTTGAACAGCACGGGTTGCCTCTTCCTCTTTCGGCGGTTCAGCCTCCTGAGAAAGATCCAGGTAGCCCTTCTCCAGGTGTGCCTCAGCTTCACGAAGTCGAAGCTCATGGTCGTCGGCCGCCTCCAGGGACGCCATCTTCATGTTCGCCGCCGCCACCAGTAAACACCGGCCACGCCAGGAGATGAAGTACTTCTGGGATCCGTCTGGGACCAAAACCACTGCAGGGCCACGCCATGCTCCAGCATCTCGTCTGTATCGACGTCTCTTCGGCTCCGAAATGGGAGACCAGAAAAACACCAACTCACCGGGAGCGAAATCCCGAGACTGGCCACCGGGAGCACGCCTAAGCGCAGCCTTAAGCTTCTCGTGAATGTCGCCGTGGAGGAGCGCCACCTTTGCTGCTGCGCGCATCTCGGACTGGCGTGCAACCTCTCCTTCCAAAGAAAGCGCCTGCCCCATTGAGGCTGCTTGCCAAACCTCCTCGTCCAAGAGCTCCGGCAGGTACGCCTGGCGGCCAAACACTAGCTGGTGCGCACTGTGACCACGACGGCTGATAGTAGAGTTCTTCGCCTGTAGCGCGCAAGCGAGTGCCACCTTCATGGCCTGGCGCCCTTCGGCTTTCTCAGCTTCCACCGCCGCTGACCACGCAACGCCCAGAAGAGCTCCTTGCCTCTCACAGAAGCCATGTTGCCATGGGGCATAAGAGCCAGTCACTTTGCTAGCAATGCTGTGGGCTTCCAACAAGGCGATGAACTCCGTCTCGAATTCTCCCCCCTGGTCCAAAACCACAGCAACCGGCACGCCGAAAACAGCCAACCACGCATTCATAAATTTTCCGGCCACATGAGCCGGTTCACGACATCGTAGAAGGCGAGCAGCATGGTAGCACGTAGCAGCATCCACCATAGACAAGGCCACATAGAGCTGGCCGGCAGCGTCTTTGATATACTTGAGGTCCAGATGCACCTCGAAGTTGAAAGCAATCGGTCTAGTACCTGGTCGCGCCGGCAAAGGTCTCGAAGGTTGCTTCCTCATTTGGCACGTGGGGCACTGGAGAGTTTTCGCCATTTTGACCAACTCATCAGCAGCACCACCCATCTGAAGCATTCGCACCAGGACCTCATTGGCAGGATGCCCAAGCCGTCGGTGGACCAAGTGTAGTCGCTCGAGCTTGGACCCGGCTTGCGCCGCAGCCTCAGGAACTTGTTCAGGACCAACGTCTGGCACATCTCGCTGGGCACGCGTGAGCAGCTCGCGCAAACCACTCACATCACTTTGAGCCCCTTCTTGCCCGGTGTTGTTGTCGGGAACAAAATGGCGCATATCCTCTGTAGTCTGTCCAAGACCATCTCCACCTGCTTGCTCAGAGTTGTTGTTGGGAACTCGGTTGTGGACATCGTTTGCGGCCTCGATCGCCCTGTCACCCCAACTTTCCAGCTCAGCACGCCAACCCTCAATCTCGCTGGCTTCCTCTCGCGGCTCCGGCGGTTCGGCCAAAACCTCCACATCGTCCTCGACAAATGCCTCCTCGGGAAGAAGCTTCGGCCTCGTAAAGAGGGTGGGCACCACCAACATGCGTGTCCTCTGTTCCAAAGCCGCCTGCGCCCCCTTAACCACCGCCCGGCACCACGAGTCAGGTAGAAGACGAGCATCGTTGCAGATCCATCGGCCGCACTGGTGTCGTCGAGGCCCCGACTCCGAACCAAAAGAGTGTCGATGGATCGGCGGGCCAGGGCAAAGTTTGACAACACGTCGTAGTACGGGGCTGTCAGCAGCGACGAGGGTGCGCTGTTGTAGCGTAGGAGGTGCGCCAGGGCATGGCCAAGCACAAAGGTCTGTGTGAGCCTTAGGTAAGCCTTCCAAGGCTGCTGTCCACAGAGGGTGCACCCACAAAGGATGCCGGTCAGCACCATAGACCAAGACAAGACCGCCGCGAGCACGCTGAGCCACAATGAGATCGTGGGCAAAACGCCACAAGGGGGCCTGGCGGACTTGCTCGGCGCTGTGTGCCTGA